CTAAACACAACAAATTCAACAAACCAATACATCAAATCTATTAGCAAATCAATGGACCCCACCGACATAGATGTGACAGTGGAATACTCGATGTTGCACTACCCAGTTTGGACAAAGATAAATTACTATCTCGACTTCCGGAGTGTGCTCACTTACACTCGGCAAACACTCACACACATTCAGAACTCTTCAATCCCATCAGAAAATAACTAAATAATCAAACATATATATATATATATATATATATAATAAACCACAATCCCAACTGATAACTCGTCATCAACACGAAACATCCTCTAGTCATACAAATATAGTCGTGTACCGTCTCCGTCGAGAATGATAATGTCTATCGACTCAACGGTCAACTTATTCATTTAGTCCATCAGCGAATCCCGCAGAATATCTACTGAGGGTATTAGATTATGGACACGTCCACATGACAACCCATGGTCAACAAATTTCCAAACAACCAAACAGTATGCAGATCGTTCAGGCAATCCAACAAACACAATCATCTATATTCATACATACATACATGCATACGCAAAAATACTTTTTCTCATTTTGCAACACATCCACAAATGTATAAAGGGACAAGTTATCTATGCAGTGTCGAACACGCGAAAAAAAGTAGGTCGAAAGCAAGCTCACTGCAAACACCTGTAAACGATCAATCAAATACAAACAACGTATCACACCAATAAACTCACAACATTACTATCCAGACATAAAATCCGAGTGCGATACAACACACAACTAAATCACACAAACATAATCTCTACTCGATTAGTCAATAACCACCTTACACAAAATCACCAACACCACTAATCACTCACGTCCAATGTAAAAAAGAACAAATAACACTAACTATCAATATACTCCACATGCGAATACTATCGTCCGAAACGAAAACCACAGATATCTCGATGGATATCTACCACAACTAACACTGTCTACACACTATTCAGAAATACTCTCATCACCACGGTCATCCTATTCCCAACTCACACTCCCACATCTTAACTACAGAACACAACCACTCAATGTTACACGAGCATTTCACCAGACAAAATGGCGCATCTGAACAACTAACATCACCAATATCACCAACACACATGCATACACACACGACAACAACACTCTCCAATAATCACTACATTATTTGCTCCGCATCTACACATGAAGAAATCAACAACACATATTAGTCAGACGTCTCTTCACAAAGCATTCACACCACACTCCTCTGTACACAGAACAACAATTAACTAAACGACCAGTTAACCCTTTGGCGTCGGCGACACACCACCTCAGAAAAATAAACAGTTTCTTCAACCCAACTATTATTAAGCAAAACAAAACACTCAACTACAATTCACGTTGTCCACAAATAACACTCACCACACATCTGTGAAAGATTAACACTCCTGTGGTACACAGTACAAATAAATCAACGTCAAACACAAATACCATCTTCATCATCCGCCATCACTCACTCTCTCCCACACATGCAACCTAGAAACCATCCACATTAAGCAACCCCACTTCAACTACTACTTGCACATTGTACACAAAAATTCAACTTATCATACACAAACACAACAACTGTGATATTCCATGAATGGACACCACTAACAGATAAGCGACAGTGGAATGCTCGATGTTGCACTACCCAGTTTGGACAAAGATAAATTATTATCTCGACCTCCGGAGTGTGCTCACCAATAACAAACAATCAACTACACAAAACAACTCAAACGCATCCATATACACTCCACATACAACAACACCAAATATTTTAACACCATATTCATAAGACTAAACACAACAAATTCAACAAACCAATACATCAAATCTATTAGCAAATCAATGGACACCACCGACATAGATGTGACAGTGGAATACTCGATGTTGCACTACCCAGTTTGGACAAAGATAAATTACTATCTCGACTTCCGGAGTGTGCTCACTTACACTCGGCAAACACTCACACACATTCAGAACTCTTCAATCCCATCAGAAAATAACTAAATAATCAAACATATATATATATATATATATATATAATAAACCACAATCCCAACTGATAACTCGTCATCAACACGAAACATCCTCTAGTCATACAAATATAGTCGTGTACCGTCTCCGTCGAGAATGATAATGTCTATCGACTCAACGGTCAACTTATTCATTTAGTCCATCAGCGAATCCCGCAGAATATCTACTGAGGGTATTAGATTATGGACACGTCCACATGACAACCCATGGTCAACAAATTTCCAAACAACCAAACAGTATGCAGATCGTTCAGGCAATCCAACAAACACAATCATCTATATTCATACATACATACATGCATACGCAAAAATACTTTTTCTCATTTTGCAACACATCCACAAATGTATAAAGGGACAAGTTATCTATGCAGTGTCGAACACGCGAAAAAAAGTAGGTCGAAAGCAAGCTCACTGCAAACACCTGTAAACGATCAATCAAATACAAACAACGTATCACACCAATAAACTCACAACATTACTATCCAGACATAAAATCCGAGTGCGATACAACACACAACTAAATCACACAAACATAATCTCTACTCGATTAGTCAATAACCACCTTACACAAAATCACCAACACCACTAATCACTCACGTCCAATGTAAAAAAGAACAAATAACACTAACTATCAATATACTCCACATGCGAATACTATCGTCCGAAACGAAAACCACAGATATCTCGATGGATATCTACCACAACTAACACTGTCTACACACTATTCAGAAATACTCTCATCACCACGGTCATCCTATTCCCAACTCACACTCCCACATCTTAACTACAGAACACAACCACTCAATGTTACACGAGCATTTCACCAGACAAAATGGCGCATCTGAACAACTAACATCACCAATATCACCAACACACATGCATACACACACGACAACAACACTCTCCAATAATCACTACATTATTTGCTCCGCATCTACACATGAAGAAATCAACAACACATATTAGTCAGACGTCTCTTCACAAAGCATTCACACCACACTCCTCTGTACACAGAACAACAATTAACTAAACGACCAGTTAACCCCTTTGGCGTCGGCGACACACCACCTCAGAAAAATAAACAGTTTCTTCAACCCAACTATTATTAAGCAAAACAAAACACTCAACTACAATTCACGTTGTCCACAAACAACACTCACCACACATCTGTGAAAGATTAACACTCCTGTGGTACACAGTACAAATAAATCAACGTCAAACACAAATACCATCTTCATCATCCGCCATCACTCACTCTCTCCCACACATGCAACCTAGAAACCATCCACATTAAGCAACCCCACTTCAACTACTACTTGCACATTGTACACAAAAATTCGACTTATCATACACAAACACAACAACTGTGATATTCCATGAATGGACACCACTAACAGATAAGCGACAGTGGAATGCTCGATGTTGCACTACCCAGTTTGGACAAAGATAAATTATTATCTCGACCTCCGGAGTGTGCTCACCAATAACAAACAATCAACTACACAAAACAACTCAAACGCATCCATATACACTCCACATACAACAACACCAAATATTTTAACACCATATTCATAAGACTAAACACAACAAATTCAACAAACCAATACATCAAATCTATTAGCAAATCAATGGACACCACCGACATAAATGTGACAGTGGAATACTCGATGTTGCACTACCCAGTTTGGACAAAGATAAATTACTATCTCGACTTCCGGAGTGTGCTCACTTACACTCGGCAAACACTCACACACATTCAGAACTCTTCAATCCCATCAGAAAATAACTAAATAATCAAACATATATATATATATATATATATATATATATATAATAAACCACAATCCCAACTGATAACTCGTCATCAACACGAAACATCCTCTAGTCATACAAATATAGTCGTGTACCGTCTCCGTCGAGAATGATAATGTCTATCGACTCAACGGTCAACTTATTCATTTAGTCCATCAGCGAATCCCGCAGAATATCTACTGAGGGTATTAGATTATGGACACGTCCACATGACAACCCATGGTCAACAAATTTCCAAACAACCAAACAGTATGCAGATCGTTCAGGCAATCCAACAAACACAATCATCTATATTCATACATACATACATGCATACGCAAAAATACTTTTTCTCATTTTGCAACACATCCACAAATGTATAAAGGGACAAGTTATCTATGCAGTGTCGAACACGCGAAGAAAAGTAGGTCGAAAGCAAGCTCACTGCAAACACCTGTAAACGATCAATCAAATACAAACAACGTATCACACCAATAAACTCACAACATTACTATCCAGACATAAAATCCGAGTGCGATACAACACACAACTAAATCACACAAACATAATCTCTACTCGATTAGTCAATAACCACCTTACACAAAATCACCAACACCACTAATCACTCACGTCCAATGTAAAAAAGAACAAATAACACTAACTATCAATATACTCCACATGCGAATACTATTGTCTGTTACGAGAACTTTAGTAGTCCCGATGAACATTTATAATTGATGCTTTTTTGTGGTTATATGAAAATGGTTCAGGTATTTTTGGATACATGTTTGTCTGATATTAAATTTAATGTTTGTTGTTGCAAATTTGAATGTGTATTTATCTTTCGAGACGATTCCTTTATATGCCGGTAGTTTCAGTTATATTCACTAGTTACGTGTGTATGGAACTTGGTTGAGATTTGAAGTTTTTAATAGATTCGTTTGTATGATCATGAAAATATTGACGTGTCATAGCAATAAATCCTTAATAGGTTCATACTTAGGAATGATTATTAAAATCAGTCAGTTGAAAATTGCCCTTGTATGTTAATTTTTATAGTAATAATAAAAATTATATAGATATCCTTCAAAATTGGATGGATGACAAGAATATTGTATGAAACATTTTCAACACAAAATTAATCAGAAGACGAGTTTAGTTGCAGTATTATATTTATTTAGAAATTTACATGTTAACTCGGAAATCGAGCTTTAGATCTGTGGTTGTTCTTGTTTCGTTTGACTTTTTGACTAGTTTTATTGTGCTCGACCTTAATAGGAAAAAGAGGTATATTAGTTCCATCCTTTTTCTCTGTAGTAAACGTTTCAGAAATGCCAAGAAGTCTCATTCTTTTCGGATTGGCTATTCTAGCTCGCATTGATTTGCCATCTAATGATTTGATCGCTCGTTTAGCTTGTGATAAAGTGGCGAACTTAACACATGCCACACTTAAAACAAAAGAATAGGAAGGAAATTTTATTTCACAGATTAATGAACCTTTTTAAATGAAGTATCGGCTATTCTGATACTCAAGATGAAGACGAAATGGAATGAGATAACAGATTCTATGACTTCAACTAGACTGACAACTCTGAAGAGGTGTTACTACCTTAATTAAAAACAACCTTAATGGACTGTGAAGTAGCTTGAATATGAACACAGACAAATAGGGTTGTTCAGGTTATAACATTAACATATCGATGAGATATTTAAAATCAGCATATAATAAAAACAAGAGTGGATCATGCCTATGCTTTCAAAAATTTCGATATTATGAAATATTTGTCGTTGATGGACATAATAGTAGAAAAAGTGCTAGTAATTTTAAATTTGAATGCAAACCGAGAACTTAATGTATTTATTATTTTTTTATTTAAGCATAAACATTGGTATGAGGCACTAGATATATATGCGCCACACCATCGTTCAATTGGTGTGAAGGTTGGGATGCTCCTCGGGCACCCGAACCGGAGCAGTGAGAAACTAATGTACCATATTTTGAAAGGAATTACAATCATCGCAATTGATGAAGTAACTCTTATTGTACTTAATGTTCCTGGTTGGTCCCACAACTGAAAAATGTTTTGGATACATAACTTATTTATGGAATTATCGCGTCACAAAATGTAATCGACTGAGACTATTGTGAACACAGCCCAACGGGTTACATTTAGTTTTGCTAAATAAAAACGCTAGTTGCCTATTCAATTGCTTTGTAAAACTACAACTAGATATACCCAAACTAGAGAGCAATTGAAAAATCTAATGGTTATATTATCATGTCATGATAAAGAAACAAAACCGGAGGATTGGGAATAAGCTTACCTATTTTGAGAAACTGACTGTGAGGGTATGCAGAAGTCAATTGCTTTTGGAAATAACTTAAAAATAGTTTCTTCGCATAAAGGCAGAGTAGATCTATCTATTACTATACTTGACGGCACATCCTTATCTGCGTTAGAAATTCCAGACTGTCCAGTTTTAGGTACTGAATGGGATGTATCCTTTTTCTTAACAGAAATCGTAAAAACCTGGATTTTCCGACCACCGATCGACACATCTTTTGCTTGTTTCTGGTCCAACAGACAATCCTCCTCTAAATCATACGTAATTCGAGCTTCACCACGAAAGTGATTAATATGAACCGTTGATGCTTGAGGAAATACAGCCAGAAGATCATCTTTATTCACCTTTTTACTTAAGCCACGAACTAAAAGACAATTCTTGCTTTCAGTGATTTTGAAAAATTAGGAGTAAACAAGCTTACCTTTTTTCTTGTTGCTTTGTGTGGAAAAGAACGGATACTTTTCGACCTCTTAATAAGCAACCATGTCTACATTTTATGGCATTCACAGCATCTTCTTCTGATGCAAAAGTCAAGTAAGCGACGCCAGGTTTATGTCTAGCATTTAAGTGACTAGTTTTATCGAATGATATATTAGTGGAAGACGGAAATTTTCTTGCTATTTCACCTTTTTTAACATTGTAATTTACTCCATAAAGGACAAGCATTTTGCAATCATAGTCGTCTGAATACCCATATAGTTATGCAAATTCAGATATCGGTCTTACCAATACATTCTGAGATGAACTTCCCAACACTGGCGAATAAATTTTTGTTCCCATAAGGCTTTTTGTGAAGTCTTTCTCTATGCATCAAAGCTTGTTCCTCTGATTCGAACTCCAGGAAGGCGAATCCATGGCATCGGTAAAGACGAGTTATCCATGGTAAACGATAGGCTTTTGCTTCCGGAGCCAGTTTTTCTAATTCATTTATAGTTGTTTTGGCAGGCAGTCCGTGGATTTTTAATGTGCATTTGTTACGATGTTCTAAAATACTTTGTATTTCTTTATAAATGACAGAATTTCTTAAGTCATTTGTTGCAGGCTTGTGCTCTTCAATAGCACACTTTGTAGCTGGCGTTTCGACAACTTTTTCATGGTTTGAAACCGAGTTCTCAGCTTTTAAACGTTTGTTCTTTTCCTTTAAAGGACTGTATTCGGCTTTCCGCTTCCCATATTTGACCTTTTCAGACGAAGCCGCACCCTAGAATTTACATAATTAATGACTAGGTCTTTTAAAGTCATTTTGACAGTACAAAATTGATTTAACACACGACTATCGATTTATAGTTTTGGAACTGCAATAACTAACCTTGAGTGTCTACCTACTTACTAGGGCTAAACGAGTGTTACAAAGCAGTTTAAGGAATAAGGATAATGATTTACAGTTGATGGTTAGGGCTAGGACTTAGATTTAGGGTTTTCATCACGAACTGACATTAGTTACAATGCCGAAACTCTAGCCGGATGGGTGAATGAATTCCGCGCCAAAGTAATAGACATGTTATCGTAGATCTGATTGGTTCGTCCATAAATTATAGTCTTGTCGACGAGTCTTGACAACTTATAATGAAGCTGTTAAAATATAGTTGAGAATCAACCCAATAAGAGAAACTCGGATGCTTTGATTTACGGGCTACGTCTTAGGCCCAACAATTGGGAGAATGTAGTTCAAAGTTATTCACCGGCTCGAAAATGGTTAGCGTTAGATGAGATGATTACGCTAATATGCTGCAGCACAAAGTAAAAGTCGGGTTTTGTCAAATGTTTTATAAGCACTTTTGGAAGGCTAAACACTGCGACGTAGTATTCGCAGCCTGTAGTTTTAGCGAACAAGTTCACTCAGTGAGGTTGAAGCGTTTTAAGCAACATTCATTAGGGTTAAATCTCTCCCACTACCACTGGTACTACTAGCATATTGACTGTTTCTACACAGCTTGTAGATTTTATTCACGCATATGGATCAACTCTGGAAAATCGAGTTGCCACATTAAGTGGGTATCGATGGTTATTGTGATCAGCTGTAAGAAAAATATCTCACCCCACCGCCACTAAAGGACTCACTGTTCTTACTTCCCTTATGTTTAAATTTCAACTTGAATCACATCGTGGGATAGATTACAAAGTTATTAAATAAATTTAACCATTTAGATAAGTAATTTAACAAGCTGTCTTATAAATGTGTATTGTTTTTAAGGCCAGATATACTCATGAAAAATATCACCAAACGTACGATTATTTGTTCGAGTTCCCACGCTGTTACATCCATACCAAACAGCCCGGGTCGTTTTAACGTTAAATTTTCAGTCTTCAGCCTTCAGTAATAAGGAGATCTATCGACCTATATTAATCCTTGTAGTTTGTAACGCTGGAGGTCCGGTCTCGTTTTCAATAAATCAGTAGAAGGTGTTGATATTACGTGTTCCGGTAGAGAATTTCAGTGATTCATTACTCAGTGTGAGAAACGAAACTCCAGACGTAGGTGATTTGATCTCGGTTTTTGAAATTTCTTCGAATGTCCTCTCAAATGATCAGTCTTAAACGAAAGGGAAAGGCAAGACGTATAAGTACTAGGGTCAGCGTTCAGCACACGATAAGCCAATATTAGATCACTCCGTATTCTACGGTAAGATAGGGTGTCTCAGTCTGTCTTCATGAGATAGGCCAGATAGACTTTGTACCACCTTAATCCCTCATCATTGGGCTCTTTCTATCATATCCACCTCATGCTTGAAACAAGGACTCTGCTTGAATCTCAAAGTCGGATATAATAATCCAAGCATTTCATCATCCAAATACTGGAAAATCCTACGAACAGACCATGATACCCTATAGACTTTTGTAGCAGAAGCCTTACAGTGATTGGCAGTTTTGAGATCACTGATTCTAAATGTTTACAGTTTCTTACTTTGGGTAGCACGAATTTGCATGCTGTGTGGTGATACGAATCATCATAGTTATTTAATCGCATTGTGGAATTATGGTCTACTATGATATTAGCACTGCTCTAATAATAGACCTAATCCTAAAATTATAGATTTGTTATGATGTACCTGCCTAATCTATAAGATCTTACGTGGAAGTCACATCATCATCTACCCAACTCACTGTATCGTAACAATTACCAATACATGATAGAGAACAATCTTGGGCTAGAGATGGAACATTCAGCAGGGACCACGCCTGAATGGCCGAGCCATGCCATACGATTAACTCCAATTTATCTAATTCATTCTCTCCGCCTTCTCCATTCTTCTTTATTTCTCCGCGTTGAATGTTCCAAAGCTTTCCAGTTTTAACTTAAGACCAGAATGGGAGGCCTTATTCAAGACCTTACTTGGATCTATGAAAATCACATCTACAGGAACATTCCGATCTTTTGCCGCATCCCAATCTTTGCTTGCAATCAGACTTGTTAAACATGATGGGCCTCCTCGAAAACCATGTTGTTCCCTGGGTAAAAGATTATGTCCTTCTACATAGTTTATAACATCTATCCGGATAAATTTTTCCATTAGTTTACAATTGCACTAGTTAAGCTAAAGGGTCGATAGTTACCAACTAAATCTCTACTTCCAGTCTTATACGCCGGACTAATTAACGTGTCTTTCCAGTCTCTAAGCAGTCTGGACTGCCGCGGAGACATATCAAACAGTAACGCCAAAGGTTAAGATATTAGATCTTATAGGGCTTTCACAATTCTAGAATGAATAACATCAGGACCACTGGACTTATCAGGTTTGAGATGCTGAAGTAGTCATAGGACAGTAACTTTCTCAATAACTACAGGGTCCAGCAACAAGCTGCTACAATCACAACGAATGGTTGGTCGTCCCTCACTACTCTTGGAAAACACTTTACTAAAATAATCCGATAATACTTCAGCTTTTTTGGTATCTATTCTTGCCAACATTAACGAATTTTCTTGTATCAAAAGTGATGGAATTCCATCGCTTCTCTGAGTTTGCCGTTTTGTGCACGAGAATAACCGTTTCGGAGTATATTTACAATCCCTAACAATTTGTTGTTCATATGGCCTTCTAGTCTTACTTATTATTGCTGTACAAGCATTTCTAACCTTACAATGACTGGATCTTTATCGTTCTAAGCCAGTAGAGATGAACATACTTCAGTGATTTTCCTGCGTCTAAGAAATTTCTTGACTTGTTAAGTTATCCATGATGGACTTTTACCCGGTCTATATGGTACCAGGTATGGTATGAACGGGGACGTAACTGAACTAAACGTGCCTTTAAACATAGACCATGCTTCTTCAACTGATGAGCTGGTATCTACTGACCAATCTGTCTTGGCAGCGCACTCCATACATTCGGGCAAGGCTTAACCTGATCGTATATCATGTTACTAGGTCTAAACATCGCTATTCACTTACGATAGAGGATTATTTAGGCTGGCAATATATTCAGTCTCATGAGTGATAACCAAGTCCAATAGAGAAGAACCTCGTTTTGCACCAAAACGCGTGGGTTTGGTTACATAATGTACTAATGAATGCTCCAGTACTGTCGTCAGGACCCTACTGTCAAAGGAGTTTATAGATCCTTTCGTGGTCATCTCAGTTCAATTAATATCAGGTTCGTTAAATGCTTCTAATATTAAGCATTTGTTATTTGCACTCAATAGCTGAATCACCAACTAAGCAGACTGGGCTGCGATAGATGACATCGAGTATAAATGTACCACATCCGATAATGAGCTCGCAGCTAATAACTTCACAAGCTTCTTTGTCATGGGATTCGCAAATAGAGAAGCGGATATTTATATTATTGGCTATCTATAAAAGGACGCCACCTCTTTTCCTACATCTGTGTCTAACACTTCTTAGGTAGTGGTGTCCGGATAATTCTGGAGTAATGTTGAAGTTATGGACTAACCAAGTTTCTGTCATAGGTACAATGAATGACTCTAATTTGTCCACTAATGCTTCTAGTTCATAGAACTTATTTCTTAGCCTACGAGCGTTGGCATACAGAACACCTAAGCAGAACGGCCTATCCATACAGGCCTTGGTAGCATTCACTTCCAAGACCTAACTATCGGAAAACCCACTAATCGGAGATTTTCCACACCATTTTGTCGACTGGTTTCTAGTTCAGCTAACGCCGTCTTCCTTTTTATTCTATCCTCAAGAGGCATATCAGACCTTACTCGGATGTTGGTATTATCGTGACTACGAGCGCTACTTAGCAGAAGATCACACTGCTTCTTCAACCCTAGGACTACCTTAAGGAGTCTATATAGTTGGTGTTTAACACTGTCATCGGTCGTCTTACCTATTCTAACCGATTTTTGACTTGAAATGCTTTGAAGCTATTCGGTATATTATATTCTCCGAGCTTCTCTAAATCATGTTTGTGTCTAATTTTGGGATCAGGATCGTTTGACTCCAACAAATCATTCACAATAATATTCGATGAGATTAAATGCTTCTCAGTCACTCCAGGGTGGAGTTCTGTCTTACTATCAGACTTTGTTAGTGTATTTTGTTACTCAGAATGGGAGTTCACTAACCACTTGCCAACAAAGTGTGTACTGTTCACAGCCTTTTTATTTTCATTTCTTTTTCTCTGTACTGAAGTTCATTCATCATCGTTCAAGACAGCCATACCGGGACTAATTGGAACGGTGACGATTTTTAACGGGGCCTTCAATTTTCACTAAAAATGCATGACTACCAATGTCAATATCGAATGGCGCTTCACTCCTTGCTAGTTTTAACGGGGATTTCACGGCAGGTACTACACTGACACATTCTTCACTGTCAGTACTCGTGTTACCAGCGCAACCGCCATCATTCTTCTTACAGGTTAAAGCTAGTAGGCTGTGGGACTTAAACGGGTACACATCTTATGGAACCACTTTATACACTTATCGCACTGCATTCCTTCCTCCACGGTGAATAAACAGATTGGCTGTCCACATTTATAAGTACTGCTAACGATTTTAATCAGATTAAGGTTTAAAGCACAATATAATCACAATATGGACAAATGTGTCAAAGTCAATGAAAAAGAAGGTATCAAAGGACAAAGTTTAGCAAGATTTCAAACCTTAACCGAAATACTTCAAGTGAAAGTAGACGAGGAATGCTTTTTGATAAAACAAGTACACAAAAGCAAGGAAAATCACAAGTAAAAAACCACTGTTTTTCGAAACGCGCACGTTATAAACTTTTAGTTTCTAGACCAGAAAATTATTTTAACTTCCTGTTGTTATTAGGTTTATTGCTTACTGGGTGATTTCGAAAGGGAACCTGTGGGTAGATGTTCATAAGAAGTTATGTGATCAGTATTGATTCTCGTGTTCTTAAAACAATACATAAATTTGAACTAGCTTCAAATGCATCAACAAAAGGTCCTGTTATCACCCGTTGTCACAGAGGATTCCAGTAATTTATGACTCTATCGAAAGAGAAAACTTCGAAAGTATACAAGTATTCCATTTGTTAAATGTTATCGGAGTCTCGTCTTAAATGAACGGTCCAAAGTTGAGATGTAGAATCATACAATGCCTAAATGGCTCTTCAGTTTGTGCTAAGCTTTATCGTTATTCGAATGACCAGAGATATCATACAACTAAGAATCCACGAAATTTGGAGTTTGACATTGATTTTACACGTAACACCTTTATAACCAAAGTATATCGATCCAGCTAAATCGGAAGTTAGAAACGAAGGGTTCGAAGATACATTTGTAAATCTATAGATATGTCGAGAAGCGTTTGATCTTAGCTGTCTAGCGGTTGCAGAAGATGCGTAGCACAGCGTACCTACTCGTGATCTGGTGAGGATGCGTGACCAAGTGCCTTCAGCTAAGGTATGTCCAGTAAAACTAATGAGGTCAGCATCAATGTTGAAGACATACAGAACCATTTATTTCAGGGATTTATTAATTGCCGCAGCTTCCTGCTTTCTGGTAGAGGTACTGATGTCCATAAGGCGTGGCCAACTAGAACTTTAAACGAAATGGGCTTTCCGTTAGTAAACATTCTTCTGAAAGCTTGCTATGTTCAGTAGCACCTAGTTGACTTCCCCTAAAAACGAGGCCATGTAGAACAATATAGCAATGAAAAAATGTACACTGAAAGTTTCTATTCATCTTATTTCTTATCGGGTTTTCACCTTTATCAGCCGTCCTGGAAAAGAAGAAAGAATGAAATTGTTAGTACATGTCGAAATACACTCGTACATGTGTAAGGTCACAAAGCATTTAAAAAAGTTAAAAATCTGGTAAACCTGCGTATTGATAACACACGATGGCGTTAAACAA